ATTCAATATGAAAAATAAAAAAAATATTTAGTTTCGGTTCTTGGTCTAGACCCGAGACTCGACCCGACCTGACCCAAACCCATCAGTTCTCGATTCGGGTACCCGTTCGGGTATTTAATTTATAAAGAACCACTCGATTCGGTTCGGTTCAGTTCGGTTCGGTCTGGTTCGGTCCGTTCCTTTCGGGACTTCTGGACACACCTACATTTCATAGAATGCCAAATTAGCCACATTTAGCTATCATTTAAGTTTTGATTAACACATGCTTCACAAAGTCTCACTTCTACGTGTTATAAATGATCACAAACATCAACGAATGTCACATATCAATCGAAAACATGCCTCATGGACTTGTATAATTCTACGCAATATTTAATTTTTTTTTTTAGAGTCACAATTTTTTCCCTAAACATCCTATCCAATCATGCCAAATGAAATAAAGGGTGAGTCTTTTTCCCTATTCACGAACCACAAGAACACCAAGTGAAACTTCTCGGAGTCTGTATAGTCTTGAATATCTCCTCGTACATATTTTATTGCTCACTACACATCTCTAACGTGTTGGTTGAATTCAATGTCACCGAAAGAATCAAAATCGGAGTCACGAATTCCATAAGCTTGAAAATCCAATTGCGACGAGAAATTGTCGTCCCATGAAAAATTGTCGAAGATTTGTTCACCAGATGGGAATTTCCAAGGGACGTCTACTTGAGAAATATCAGGATCATCTCCCGTTGGTCTACTTATTAATGGATTATTAATTGCTGTTACAATTTTCATTCAATGAGCACAAGTTCTCATCATAGCCTTTTATCTCTGGTAAACCGGTTGGATGTTTAACTAAATTAGCCAAATTATCTGTAGCAGATGAAGTTTCAGTTTCCTTGCGAAGGGTTTGTGTGTAACAGGATCAATTCCCATTTTCAGAAGCTTTTTCTTAATAGAAGTATTCCAATGATTCTTAATCTCATTGTCTGTACTTCCCGACAATCTTGCAAAAAATTTTGACCATCTAGTTTGTAAGGCCTAAAACACAATATTACAAGGATCGAAAGTTCTAAAACATCAAATAAATTGCAGAGAACCAAAAAAACAAACAGAACACAAGATTTTTCAACCTAAATGGTTCGGATGTTTAGTCACAAAGACCTACTCACCCATTGAGCAT